TGTGTGTGTATGTATGTATATGTACCTGTATGCTAATGTTAATTTCCATTACGATACAGGAATAAATTTAAATTATTCAAAAACTATAGATCGATTTGATTAGCGAAACAAAAAACAATCGAATAATTTTATAAGCCCGAATATATACGATTTTCATTTATGGTTGCGTTAAATGTTAGCTAAGATATAACATAAAGTTAATAATGTCACGGGAATGTAGATATTTCGAGCTAGAAAATATTCCATTTAATTAAAAATCGACAGTCATCATCATAACCCAAAAAACTGTTAAAGTTCTAAAACTCTGTGCAATACAAAATGTCGTCGTGATACGTATGATAAACATCTTTGGCTTTGTGCCAAATATTTAACTCACTCGTTGTTCATATACCAGAGATATATTATAAATATAGCAAATTGAAACATATCGTACCAGATGTTCTCTTAGCTTAAACGAAAAGATGAAATAACGGCCTCCTGATGTTAAGCCTTACGGAAGCCTGTGAAGGTATCCCAAAGAGATTTCTGTTTCAAGTCTTCAGTATTTTATCCTCTTTGATTATTTTTAAAAACAGTCATTCAAGAATATTTTGTCAATCAAATCAAATATTTTGTTATCTACAATTGATTTTGATTAAACAATAAAATTCAACTGAATACAAGTGTCGAAATATCCTTAATAGAATCGACTAAAGAACCATTGAATGCGTAGAGAAAGAGTAAATTTATATTTGAATAATGTTAAATTATATTTTTATAGTTTTTAAATATAGTATATTATATACAATACTATATATACAATTTATAGAAATAATATATTACCAATTCTCAATTTAATTATTATTCAAAAATTGTGAACATCGTTAAGACTATCTCATCACAAGAACCATAAACTGGTATTTAAATACTTCAACTGTTTGTTAAAAACATATCTAAACTCGTCAACGAGGATAAATTAAATGCGATGTCGATTAGTCACGAGTATTTTTCAAGGCTACGAATGATAGACTGCATAGTAACTTGTGTGGCTTGTTTTCCAAGAACTCACTGTGTGACACATCTCTGATGGAATATTATCTCGAATTGGTCCGATCAGTGTTCATTGTGGTCTGTGTCTAAATGTGGTCTTTGTAAAACGATTTATTGAATTCATCCTTTCTTGATATTATGATGATGAGATGGCAGAGTCGAGCTCTTGTTAGAGACTTAGTTTTAAGATAACGTAAATTACATACTTTGATTTAACTGAAACTAAAACGGCACCGGTTGTAAATAGAATGGTTTCAATAGACACATTTTTTTTACATTTTGACAAACATTGAACAAAATGTGTTTGTGTGTTTATACGTAATTAATTCGGTTGAAACTGTCTACTTGATTCCGGTATGCCAAATTCAGTGTAAAGTTTTCCGTAAGAGTAACATAAATCGTCTTTTCGCTTTAAAAGTGTACAAATTCCAAAAATATTCTAAATTGAGTTAATATGCGGAATCATTTGGTATCATCAGTTTTTTTCTCATAAATACTCTCAAAAGAGTGTAGTTTAGTTTAATTTTTTGATGTGAAACATCTATAGCCGCACGTAAAACCGATTTCTGGCGTGGCGACGCATGCTGTGGCGACGCGTCGCCACGCTATATGATGGTATACAATCTTTAAGCAGTAGTGTGTACGGTGTGGCGACGCGTCGCCATGCGCAATCGACTGTGCGATTCTCTCCCACTCGATCCGGCGTTAAGCCATCTCTCTCGCTACGCTGAGCTCGGATACCTATAGTGTATTATACTCCGTAGTGTATACAGTGTTGTTTTTTGTTTTTACTACAGTACACATGACCTGTGTTTTACTTGAAAACAAATAATTTTTTCGTAATATTTTATTTTATCATTATGACATATTTCGTTCCTATCACAATCTGTTCTTTTCTGCATATTACTTTTACAAAATAATGTCGATGTTTCACATCTGCCAGGCGTCCCGTGACGGTTCACATTTTTTTTTTTAGTTTGCCTATGTTTTGACTACTATTAACAAAATTAATACATAATTTTATCTTACTTTAAAAGACAGATAATGTAACTGGTAAAAAATAAGTGTTGGAAAGATGATTAATATTAAAAATATCATATTTTAAACCTTTAAAACACTCTCCTGTAAAATTAGTAACTTTTGAGATTATACAGTTTTAATGCGAGAAGAAATGTGCGACAGGTGGCGCGCGCGTTGTGACTATCGATGTATCTATATATTAATACGTGAAGCAAAAACTTTGTATCCCTTTTTAAGAAAATTGCGTTAACGGAGGAGTATGAAATTTTCCACACTTATAGAGAATATAGAGAACAAGTGCACAATGCTAATATTTTTTTTAAATAATGCATAAAAGATACATTAAATCAATAAAGAAAACATTACACACACTACATACCATGTATTTGACGCACACACGCATGAACACTATTTATTGTCAAACTTTTGTTCTTGACGTCTGTTGTCAAATTGAGAATAGAATATGGTTTGTCTTTGTTAATATTTCTTATAGTGTAATCTTGGCGAAATTCGTGAATATAGAAGTATAAAATACCATCAAAATAGTGTACAAACTTTCAATTTCAATTAATTTTATAGTCGAATTTCGACTACTGCGGGACCTCTAGTTCTATATATTTGACGACATTAACGATTGAACTGTTTCAATGAAAATATTTAGTTTTTCAACTCTGAATAGTAAACTAGTATAGTATAGATTTAAAGCTTAAGTTTTTTTTCTGAGATGGGTGGACGAGCTCACAGCTCACCTGGTGTTAAGTGATTACTGGAGCCCATAGACATAGCTGTCTTAGTAGGCATAGTTGTAGCCAAGGTAAATGCGCCACCCACCTTGAGATATGAGTTCTAAGGTCTCAGTATAGTTACCACGGTTGCCCCGCTCTTCAAACCGAAACGCATTACTGCTCCACGGCAGAAATAGGCAAGGTGGTGCGGGTTGCAACCCGTGTGGACACAAAACGTCCTACCACCAGTGATTAGGCAAATTAGAATTTTTCGGGTTTGATTTTTATTACACGATGTTATAACTTCACCGTGGAAGTCAATCGTGAACATTTGTTAAGTATGTATTTCATTATAAAAATTAGTACCCGCCTGCGGGATTCGAACACCGTTGCATCACTCGATACGAATGCACCGGACGTCTTATCTCTTAGGCCACGACGACTTGTTAGATGCTAATTGGTTATCGGAGCGTATAGAAAAGACAACGAGAATGCCGTCATTCACCTAAAGACATGAGGTTAACAATTGGTAGGCCACGAAAGGAATTATAGAAAAGGCAAGTTTATAGTTAGGTGAAAATACACTATGGGTATCTGAAAAGTCTTCCACGGTAATAATTGAACGAAACTGGGTCATATTCATACGAATCTTGTGATGATCTAGCCAGAAAGATTTATTTTGGAACATTATCTGACTATAGGTCCCGCCTTAATAAAGTCCAGTAAACAATTAAGGTCTTTGTGGTCATGTTTTACCTTTCCCTGAATGAACCAGACCGTGAACAATTATGATGAATTATCATGTATAAAGCATTTATGAAAGAAGCTATTTGTAAAACGGATCGAGGTATATTAATGTCGGCGTGGCCCGCCCTTGTTATTGTTAACAGCTTGTTGTTTGTAAATGGCTCTTCAAAACTTGTAAAGGCCTATTATATACATAACCATGGGTTGTTTTATTGTGATACGTGAAATGCTTAATAAGTACCGCTCTCTAATTCAGTTTGAGCTTCACTTTTCTACTCTTTATATTCTCGTACGGAAAATACAGATAATCGTTCATGTCTACGAATTCCATGGAATTGATAATCATGTACTAAAAAGAAAACTTTCTAAACAAAGAAGTTATAATGGATGTTAAATATATTAAAACAATCATGTAATCTTTATTATTTTTTAATACAGAAATCACACATTTGAAATGTTTAAATTATTTCATTCATTATATAATGTAAAAAAGACTAGACAAAACAAGCAAGGCAAGACAAAAGGGCAAAAGTGAATAAAATTCTGAATATGAATGAGAAAATAATACTATCATTACTGAACTTATTATGAGTATAGTTATTATTAATAATAGCTGTTGGATTGATTAAATAATACATAAACATGTGTGGTAGATAAATACATAAATATCGTGGGAGAGCCGCTAAACCGTATTCGACCGGTGAGTCGTATGCTTGTTCACCTATATATGCTAAAATATAAAAGAACCAGTCAAGACCAAGAATTGATTAATAAAACCTAATTCATATCTATTTCATTCCAAAAAAAAAGAGAGCGGAAAATAGATGGAATTAATAGGTAACTCTTTCGCTTTTTTCATCTGCTTACTGCCGGTGTCGTTGGGTTTTGAGCTTCCGGGGGCAAAGTACGTTTGACTATAGGTGATTTTGCATTGCTAACAGCCCAGTCAATACACGTTTCCGCGACTCATTGCTTCACTCCCTGTCAGTTCATGTTTTTTTTGTAATTATTTCAAGTCGACTAGTATGACGGTCATTATCTTTGTTTTTCTTATAACTAATCATCTTCTTCGCATCGTTGCGCTGATGGCGAGGACAATTTATCTTTAAATAGATTATTCAGTTTTTTATTTACTAGTGTTTATCCAAAACATCAAAATTCGTCATAAAAACATCAGAGGAAATCTAGAAAGAACTACTTTGTTTTTTAAACACAGTCGTATTTTCAATTTTATTTCATGAGGACACTAAAAATCGGTAATAGCTTAACACCTTACACCCTAATCATAAAAGCTTATGACCGTGTTTCGTTTTAAATTTACTTTAATTTATTAATTAAAAATTTAAGTTTTCTAAATTTGTAATCAACAATATATCTTCACAAATAAATCCCCAAATTACCCGTCTGGTAAAAATAATTAGGGGCAATTAACATAAAGAAAAAATGTTGAAGTAAAATAATGTTTTATTATTGTTTCAGTCCGAGTGGGACAGCGTTGAGTACGTTGCCTCAATTGCGAGAATATCTACAGACTGCTGGCACCTGCAAGTGTGGCTTACCTTGTCCGCTCAGGCCGGAAATGGCCTTTAGTTTCGATCCAAAGGTAAGTAAAACACGTTTAACAAATCATGAATTGAAAAAATATGACAATACTTAAAATATAATGCCCTATAGATAGCATTCCCAATTTCAAATGGTTAATCCTTAGAAAACTCATATAAAAATATAAGAAAGTAAATTTTTAAGGATAAATACGGATTAATACTAAATTAACTTTTACAAGGCATCTGTGGTTCGTTACTCCATTTAGTAGCATATTGATACATTATGTTTCATATAGGTAGGTATCTTTATTTCGCAAATCAATTGATCGCCGAGAGGAATGTTCTCTGTTTAGCCGTACCACTTTTTATGCGTCGAGAATGATACACGCGTAGCCAGCCGGTTGGACAATAACGTATCGAAACTTCTTTTTCATTATTATTCTCGTTTCTCAAATGTATAGTTCTGTCGCAGCTAGCAGCAATTAATGAAAAATCGCGTTATAGAATATTGCTTTAATGATCGGAGGATAAAACGTTTCTATGTTTCATTCTAAGAAAGTTTGTATTAATTATATAGTCACTACATAGTATAAAACATATTATATCCATTAAATAGTGGAGAAATCAATAATAAATTACAGTTCAGTACAGTCATTATTATTATTAATTACATTTATTATCGATTATCCCTCACGTCCAATAACACCATAAAAATCGGAGCTTTCTAAAGTAATAATTCTGAATCTTGCCTTTAGACTATTAATAAAATCAGTTAATTGAAATATTGAAGTCATTTAATGAAAAACTAGATAAATGTTCTAAAAAACTGGTTTAGGTTGACACTTCTGAATCGATATACCTATATATTAATACGTGAAGCAAAAACTTTGTACCCTTTTTTATGAAAATTGCGCGGACGGAGGAGTATGAAATTTCTCACAATTATAGAGAATATAGAAAAGGAGTTCACAATGCTAATATTTTTTTTAAATAATGCATAAAAGATACTTTTAATTAATAAAGAAAACATTATACGCACTACATACCATGTATTTGACGCACACACGCATGCAAACTATTTATTGTCAAACTTTTGGTCTTGACGTCTGTTGTCAAATTGAGAATAGATTAAAAATTGTCTTTGTTAATATTTTTATAGTGGCGAAATTCGTGATTATAGAAGTATAAAATACAATCATAATAGTGTACAAACATACAATTCCAATTAATTATAGTCGAATTTCGACTACTGCGGGACCTCTAGTGATTTTTAAATTTGCATTTCGATTGCACCCTGCCTACCAATACGGATGACACATCTATTTATTGTTTATTTGTGATAATTTGTTGAAATGAAAATACTATTATTATTATAAAAAGGTGCCAATATCATAGTAAAATGGCACACTTAAAATAAAAACAGTGACAAAGTAGATTTAAACTCATTGCTGCTAAATTACAAGCGAAGGGGCCCGTTTTGAAAGGTGTGCCGAACAATCATTTCAGACCAATTATCGTGTTACGTTGCCTTGAACTCTTGCAGGAGCTAAATAATTGATCTATGTTAATGCAACCGTCATCGCGTCAGTCGTCGATGTAAACGGTTCCCTATCTCGAAGACTAGTGTTTGTATACGTTTGATTTGAGATCAACTAAATATATCTATCTATCTATCTTCTTCTATATATATAAAAATGAATTGCTGTTCGTTAGTCTCGCTAAAACTCGATAAAGGCTGGACCGATTTGGCTAAGTTTGGTCTTGAATTATTTGTGGAAGTCCAGAGAAGGTTTAAAAGGTAGATAAATATGAAAATGCTTTAAATAAAAATAACATTTTTGTTTTTCCTTTGATGTGTCACCCATCGGACGAATTTCTTTTGTTTGTTTTAAGTTTATTTTATAAAAAAGCTTAGGTCTTTTATTTATTTATCGATTGAGGCACTACGAAGTCTGCCGGGTCAGCTAGTAAAATATAGAAATTACTCGTAAAAGTAAGTTATAAAAAGGCGACAAGCCTTATGTGTATGCACGCCTTTTTCTGATGAATTTGTTTGTAACTCATCTAGGCAAAACCATTTCTTTACTAACAAAGATTTTACTAGCAAGCATGTACAAAGGTCCTCTGTCGCAGACAGATACTTACTTATACAGTATTTTCACTGTGTCGATATCGCAGATCGATATACATGAGTGACGACCGTCATACAATCGTCTGGTCTGTTGAATTCGTATGCAAATTACATCATAATGCAGTACGTAAACCACTCAATCAATTTCTACTGAAATCAAATTGTGGATTATGGATTGCGTTTTATGCAGAATTTAAACAGCAACTTCATGCTTTACAATTATTTGTATAATATCTGCGTCAGCTAGCACACGTGTTGATAGCAAACAGGACGAACAGCGTCAATGGGGGACCACCAGTTTATTTACATTAAGAAATCGTTCCAACACAATTTTTAAATCTGTAACTAAAACACGTTATGTGAGATTTCGCGTAGATATTGCATATATTGTATTTTATTATTTAGAATTTTAGAAGTTCTTTTTAATTGCATTGATATGTGAACTAGCTCGTTTGTTTATGTTGAGACATGATATTAAAGTTTCAATTATATTATAAATCAATTGCCCCACCCTTCAAACCGGTACTTATGACTGTTTCGCGGTCGAAATATACCGGACTAACAATACATCCGACAAGCAGTCATTACGCAAATTTTACAACCAGACAACCAGAAATTCCAAATTTAAAAATATTGCTAATTCTATTTGTATCACAGGAAGTTGATCCTTTTTTGTCAAGTACATATAACACTTGTCAAGTACATATTTCATTATTAAAATTAGTTCCAGCCTGCGGGATTTCGACATCACCATAGTTTATCGTCAGATACTCCTAGTACACGAGCGTCTAATCCTTTAGGCGACGACTTCAAAATTAAGACAATTTGATTTAGACCTTTTTTACCGTTAAAGTCGTGGCCTAAAATGGTAAGGCGTCCGATGCCGCTATTTGAATCCCGTAAGCAGGTACCAATTTTTCTAATGAAATATGTGCTTAAAAAATGTTCACTAATGACTTTCACAGTGAAAGAATAACATTGTGTTATAAAAATGAAACCTGCAAAAATTATAATTTGCGTACGTTTCAGTTTGAAGGGTGGAGGCAGTCGTTGTACTGTAAAATCTGAGACATAGAACTCATGTATCAAGGTGGGTGGCAGCATTTATATTGTTGATGTCTATGGTATCCGGTAACTACTTAAGACAAGGTGGGCCCATGATCTCATTCACCCATCTAAGTACAAATAAACAAACACAGTTATAATAAAGAAGGTATAAACAAACCACAGTTTACCCTGACCATTGACTGTTTATTATTAAGTACTAGTGATTGATCGTGTATGAATGATGAATGATGAACTCGCATGTTTTGAAACAAGTCTCGCCTACTTATGCTAAAAACAACTACAAATTTCAACCCAATCGAATAAACGGATGATACAACACGATTAAAATGCAAATCAACAAAAGTTGACATTATGAAACCTTATAATAAAATCAAGATTTCAAAGTTCGCTCGACTTAGAAGTAGGAAACGTATAGTTAAATTTTGGATTAAAAAATTTGAGTAACGAAATAATATACGTGACGACGATCCAATAAAGGTAAAGCGTTGCAGTAGTGTGACGGACGAGTTAATTCTGTCAAAGCTTACTGCGACCTCCTCGCCTTTCCTTTGTGTGCACTTGAAATGAACAAATTGCAATGCGGTCCGTAGGGTGGGAGGAGGTCGGTGCACTCGACTCCTGTACCCACACTCCGATATTCATCGATTCCTCTTTGTTTCAGTACATTCGACTTAAAATGCATTTGTTAAGATCTCAATTTCAAATGGAGTCACACAGCTCGACGTATAATTAAATCAATTGAAATTTCAAATATACAATGAAGAGACGCATCTGGATAAAAATCATGTTTTATTAAATTTTATAGCTATCTACTAAAAATATTATTTTTCACATGAATAATTAAAATACTCGTACTACTGTTATCGTCAGGTTATCATCTGTATTAAATTAAAACATTACCAATTTATCGTAAGTTGTTTGTATTTGATTGATAAAGATTAAAGGTAGAGATAATTTTGAGAATAAATGTCTCATTTACATGTATTATTCTTCGTCAATTAATTTCAACTGATGAGCTGTAGTGTGGTTCTATCAAATCCTTTTTTTTTTTTTTTATTGCTTAGATGGGTGGACGAGCTCACAGCCCACCTGGTGTTAAGTGGTTACTGGAGCCCATAGACATCCACAACGTAAATGCGCCACCCACCTTGAGATACAAGTTCTAAGGTCTCAAGTATAGTAACGACGGCTGCCCCACCCTTCCAACCGAAATGCATTACTGCTTCACGGCAGAAATAGGCAGGGTGGTGGTACCCACCCGCGCGGACTTATAAGATGTCCTACCACCATACCTACCTACTGAATATTCGTCCTAGTGGGTACCTTGTTTATTCCTGCCGTCATAGCTGTATTCCTGAATTATTCCAAGTATAGCAATGAATCTGGTCATTCTATACCATCTGGTGAGAGTAAAGTTTTGAAATACCAAAATGTCATGATAGTTTGGCCCGCTTAGGCTTTGTGAAATTTAGTCGGTCGTTTGTTGTTCATGGACCCGAATTCAGCTGTCTCGCCATATGTGTACCCGTCGGTGCAATCGCGGCATTATTTCCCCCTTTTAGTTTAGCGACGTTTAGGCTTCGTACGGTTTGATAGTTCAAATCCGTAGATTCCGTAGAATTAGATGTGCTCTGAGAATCTCTCTGACATTGTCTTTGTCCATTAGCGACGTTTACCAAATATTGTCGGAGGTAGTGCAGACTTATCTTTATCTGCTCTTTCTCTCTTTCTGTGTGTGTGTAAAACATTGCTTGACTACAAAATGGTATCTGTAAGTTTTCTAATTTTGCTACAGAACTAATAAAAGATAATTTTAATTTAAAAATGTGTTTTTACTCCAATTGTATGTTGTAGAAATGT